TGTAGGGTCATCCACTGGGGCTGTAGGGTCATCCACTGGGCTGTAGGTCATCCACTGGGCTGTAGGGTCATCCACTGGGGCTGTAGGGCCATCCCGTCTACTGGAACATGGGTCTCTCAGGGGCCTGATCCCTGAAGAAAACTGACTGGCCCTCTGCCAGGAGCATGTTCAGCTAGAAGAAGATTCCCAGCTTCATCATCCCACCCCATCCGTGCTTTGATTTTTGTCTGGGTTATAACAAACATTAAAGCACACGTTCTCAGCCACGTAATTTTAAACTCAGAAGAATTCTGTCATTTGAAATGAACTGAATCCTTACTAAAAATCTTTCTTCATTAGTATGTGGTGTGAGGTAGCCTTGGAAATAGGTCCAGCCTTGTAACTTTAGAGATAACTAAACGCTCCTGGAAGTGATTCAAGCAAGCCTTATATAATGGCAAATTCTGCTCTCTAGTATTTAGGGAAATAGTAACCTCTAGAATGTATACATGTATGAATATGTGTGTGTGTGTGTGTGTGTGTGTGTGTATGCACACTTATTATTTCAACAGAATTGGAAGTATTTAATTTATTTATCTCTTGAATCCTAATTCTAAATTGATTTGTTGTCTAATTTTCAAGAATAATAATCTATGAAATTAAAACCTCTGTCATAAAGACACAATGACATCTTTTTCATGATTGTATAACAGTATTTTTATTTTTTTGTGTTTGAAGTTAAGTAGAGAGAACAGGGTCTTATGTGGCTCAAGCTGGCCTCGAACCTTCTGCTTCTACCTCCCGAGTGATGGGCTCACAGGCATGTGCAGCCATGCCAGTTTTTGTAGTGCTGGGGACCCACCCTGGCTTCATGTGTGCTAGACAGTTTGTCAACAGGTACATCCCCAGCCCACATTAAAGTTTTTAAAATAGTTCAAAAACTTGTTCTAATACTGCTACAGACTCGGTGGCTGAAGCACAGAGGCCTAGGCTCAGAACTTTCTTTCTCACAGTTCTGAGGAGGGAGTGTCCTAGGTAGATGCTGGGAGCTTTGGGGCTTTGGGGCTCCTCTTCTTGCCTTACAGACAACCGCTACCTCACTGTGTGCACCTCAGCCTCTCCTGGTTTCCTGCCTGCAGAGAGAACTTGCATCTGTTGTTCAGACAATGATTCTTCTCTATCACTGAGTCCCTATCCCGTGATATCCAACATAAGCACTTCCCAATGGCTCTAACTCAAAATATCATCTTATTGGGGGCAATAAGCAAACACACACACACACACATACAACCAATATATATGCATATATGTTGTATATATGCATGTATATATATGAATTGAAATGCAGTGTATACTTTATAACTTTTTTTTAATTAAAAAAATTGGTCTAGAGACTATGCCACATTTATTGGCTCTCTGTGTACTTTTCACAATTTTGCTATTTTGAAAGCTGGATGACTAGCCAGGCATGGGGGTACATGCTTTTGATCCCTGGACTTGAGAGGCAGATCTTTGTGAGTTTGAGGCCAGCCTGGTCAACATATCAAGTTCCAGGACAGCTGGGCTACATAGTAAGAATCTGGATGGTTGCTATAGTCGATGACATCCTATCAGATACATTTAAATGCACAGTTGTTTGCTTTATTGAATACTGTGAGTACAGTCTCTGTATTTATTTTCTTTAATACCACCAATGGTAGTACCACCAATGGGGATCTGTCTTAGTTAGGGTTTTACTGCTGTAAACAGACACCATGACCAAGGCAACATTATAAGGACAACATTTACTTGGGGCTGGCTTACAGGTTCAGAGGTTCAGTCCTTTATCATCAACTCGGGAGCATGGCAGCATCCAGGCAGGCATGGTGCAGGAGGAGCTGAGAGTTCTACATCTTCATCTGAAGGCCACTAAGAGAAGATTGGCTTCCACATGGTTAGGAGGAGGATCTCATTGCCTACCCCCACAGTGACATACTTTCTCCAACAAGGCCACACCTCCTAATAGTGCCATTCCCTGGGCCAAACATATTCAAGCCACCACAGGATCCATTTTCCTCTTGATGGAAGGTTTTTTTTTTTTTTCCCCTCTCATTTGCTTTTACAAACATCAGTGGATGGGCCCATCATCTTAGGGATAAATATCTTGTATTTGTGTTTAGTTTAGGTCAGTGAGGTTGGGCATCAAATGGAATGGGCGTGTCCGTCGTTTTTCTCATGATTGCAGGTTGTCCTTTGTCTTGGATGTGAGTCAAAGTTATTTTCTCTAGTCTACCCTCTGTTTTCTCTCTGTCTTCTGTTTCTCTCTCTGCTTCTCTCTCTCTGCTTCTCTCTCTTTCTCTCTCTCTCTCTCTTTCTCTCTCTTTGAATTATTTATTTATTTTATGTATATGAGTGTCCTATAGCTGTCTTCAGACACACCAGAAGAGGGCATCAGATCCCATTACAAATGGTTGTGAGCCACCGTGTGGTTCCTGGGAGTTGAACTCAGGACCTCTGGAAGAACAGTCAGTGCTCTTAACCACTGAGCCATCTCTCCAGCCCTTTGTCTTCTGTATTTGCTGTTCATGGCTTTTGCCATCAGTGGTTTATTGGTGAACATCTGCATATAATTGAGTGGTTTTTTTTTCTCTCTCGGTGCCAATGAGTTTAATGCCTTTCATTCTACAGAACAGGTCTTTCTAAGGTCTTTTCTAACTTGAGATTTTTTTTTTTAATATGTCATTTTCCCTACTTTTTTGAAAATAGTTTTTCATTTTTTCCCTTTTAGATATTGTTTCCTCTAGAATTTGTTGTGGTGAACTGTGCCAAGTATAAGTCACCCCACACAACCCAGGTATCGGGACCAGTGACTGAGTTTTCATCACTGTCCCTTGTTACATGGTGTCTTAGTTAGAGTTTTCCTGTTGTGAACAGACACCATGACCAAGGCAACTCTTCTAAGGACAACATTTAACTGGAGCTGGCTTACAGGTTCAGAGGTTCAGTCCATTATCATCAAGGCAGGAACATGGCAGCGTCCAGGCAGGCATGGTGCAGGAGGAGCTGAGAGTTCTACATCTTCATCTGAAGGCGGCTAGTGGAAGACTGACTTCCAGGCAGCTAGGACAAGGGTATTAAAATCCACATCCACAAGGCCACTCCTCCTAACAGTGCCACTCCTGGGCCAAGCATATACAAACCATCACACATGTTCACATCTATTTCTGGATTTTCTTTTATACAGATATTTTAAAACTCCAATCTCATTGTAAAATCATCCGCTCAGTTTTATAGAACAGAGGAGGTGGGACTGGTGGAGAGAGGTCTCAGCAGATTGACAGCCCAGATTGATCTTCCAGACCAGCCGCTTGCTCCTAGCACACCTCACAGCAGACACTGGCAGTCATGCGCACACGCTCACCTGCACACAGTAAAATAAGTTCTTTAAAAAGGGATCCTTTTCTTGTTTCTCTCTCTTCCCATTTCCTCACCCCTTTCCCAAAATAATCATTGTTAACCATGTACTCACTTTAGACTGCTTTTGGTACTTATATAGAGATTTTTGTCCACACACATAGAAAACACATTTTGTTGAAGAATTTAATTCTGTATAATACATTGCAAATTCCTTTTTTCCCTGCCAGTTCTGTCTTAGCATTCCATGATAATATATATAGCTCTGCCTCGTTATTTGACTTTGGCATGTGTGCTGTACTAAGGATATATTTTATTTAATTACTCCTGGTTATATACCTAGATTATGGATTTTTCATAGCATTTTCCATAATTCTATACTGAATATATATGCATATATGTGCATATATATGCATATGTATGTGTATATATATTACAGAATTATATATATTATGATGTATAGCTTATATTTATGAAGTATATAGCTTTGCTTTTTAATTTGTGATAATCCTCACTCTAAAATGTTTAATAATTTCATATTGTATGCTTAGCGAGTAAGGAAATCTGGGTAATATGGAGTAATACTGACATTTTTATAATGATCTTCTCATTTTAGATAAAATTTGATGCTGGGACTCTTCTTCTTAGTACACACCGGCTGATTTGGAGAGACCAGAAAAATAATGTAAGAGACACTTTCTGCCCAGGGCTTTGTTTAGTTGTCTGTGCATTGGGAGTGTGAATCGGCACTGAACGCCTTGGCCCAGCTGAGTGCTTGCTTCATCACTGAATAACAATCTTAGCTACCCCCATTCAAGATTTTCAGTTTGTTTTCTCTCGTTTGTTTTTGTTTTGAGACAAGATCTTACTCTCTAGCCTACTCTGACCTTGAACTTGCCATATATAGACCAGTTGGGCCTCAAAAGAGATCTATCTACCTCTGCCTCCTGAGGGCAATGTTGCTTAATTCTTACAGCATGGTTCAGTGTAGGGGAGAGAAAGCCTCTCATCAGCTGTGAGGATCCTTAAAAAGATAGTATGTCTTCTGAACAACCCGTCATACCAGGTTACTGGGATGCAGGAGCATTCCTCTGCAGGGATTCTCCTGGCTGCTGAGAAAGCCTTCCCCTGTATCACTCAGGCAGAGAGAGACTCCTCACCCTAATTTTATAGCTTTTAGAGAGAGTGAGGTGTGTGTGTACAGAGCTGATGGCTTCATTTCCAAAGAGTTTTAACTTGAAAGTTACAGCTGTCAGCAGGGTAAGATGTCTAGTCTAGAATCTAAAATAATCTTATCATTATTTTCCTAATTATTCTCCAGCTCCAGCTGTGTTATGGGTTTTCAGTGCACAAGTCTTTGCACCATGTGTGTGTAGTACCTACAGAGGCCACAAGAGGTCTCTGATCTCTTGGAACTGGGGTTACAGAAGGTTGTGAGCTACAGTGTGAGTGCTGGGAATTGAACCCTGGTCTCCTGAAAGAGACCCAGTGCTTTTAACCATTGAGCCATCTCTCCAGCCACTCATCATGAATGCCTAGTACCAAGATGAACTTTAAAGTACCTTTTGGAAGAGTTTTGTAGTAGTACTTTAGTCCGTTCTAAACTCCCCAGAGTGTGCTGCTTCTCTCTAGACCCCCAGCGCCCCCCTACACACGTGCACGCGCACATGGACACTTGCATGCTCGTGAACTCGCCTTATTTTTAATACGTCCTAAGCAGCTCAATGGTTGGGCCACTGCCAAACTTCTGTGTTGCTAACGTCTCCCCTCCCATACTCCTGAATTACTACTTACTAAAATCTATATTCCATCTTTGCTACCCCAGACCCAAGCAGGGAGTCCCCTTAGGGCCGCTCCTCCCTGACTCCTACATGGCTATACATTCTCCAGCTCTATGCCCGATCTTCCTGCCTCCCCATCATGGTGATTCTAAATCCTTCTTCCTGTGGTTTCCTTGTCCTTGCTGGAGAAATCTAAAGTCTCTGTCTCCCTACCCAACCATTGCCGCTACCCGCCAGCAACTTTATTTACCAGTTAGAACCAGCTGAGGGCATGGACCCTCAGCATCTCACACACACACAGGCGTGCAAATTCCTGTGTAATTTTGGGACTCAATTAACATAATGTCAGCAATAAACCAAATCCACAACAGAAGAGTGCAATACCTGGCTTCGTCCTTTAAGAACCATTCTCCCGGGGCTGGAGAGATGGCTCAGCGGTTAAGAGCACTGACTGCTCTTCCAGAGGTCCTGAGTTCAAATCCCAGCAACCACATGGTGGCTCACAACCATCCGTAATGAGAGTCAATGCCCTTTTCTGGTGTGTCTGAAGACAGCTACAGTGTACTCATAAATAAAATAAATAAATTAAAAAAAAAAAAAAAGAACCATTCTCCCCTCTTGAGGGTGATTCTGCCTTCATTAGTCTGTTAATGCTATGGAATCATTTTTCAATTATGTGCAGAAGAAAAATCTTTAGAAGATGATGAGGTGCCCAGAAACTAGATGTCGATAAATTAATTTTGGTGTAACCTTTCAGTTACCATATAAAGAGAACACTTAGGCAGGGAAGGGAAGAGAAGGCTGCAGGGAAGATGGACATGATTGGTAAGTGATGTGTGCACATGTGGAAATGTTAGTGTGAATCTACTGGGACCACCGAGATGGATCAGCCAGTGAAGGCTTCCCTCCAGAGCTACAGGCCTGACCTCTATCCCCAGACAGCACGTGGTAGACCTAGAGAACTCATGTTTACAATTTTGATCACCACACACACACCAGGGGGCTGCAACATCCATGCACATGCATGCTAGTGCACATACATGCAAAATCAACTATAAAAAAAGTGAAACCTATTAATTTGTACAATTAAGCATTAATTAAAAAATTCTTAGACCTATTATATGCCAATCAGTGTAATGATTTAAATTAAATTTAATTTTTTTATTCATTTGTTAATTCTATATAAATTTTAGTGCTCTCTCTACACATACACATGCATGCCAGAAGAGGGCATCAGATCCCATTACAGATGGTTGTGAGCCACCAGATGGGTGTTGGGAATTGAACTCACAACCTCTGGAAGAATAGCCAGTACTCTTAACCACTGAGCCATCTCTCCAGCCCTTAACTTTTTAAAAAAAAAAAAAAAACAAAGTTTTACTGTGAAGACTTTCCTAACCTTCAACTCAAGTGGTCCTTTTTACTCTCCCAAATAACTGGGATTATAGGCATGTGCCTCTACAAATGAACTTATAAAATACTGTAAAGTTTGTAGTTAGTAATAAGAAAGCCACATTAGTATTTTCTCTTGAAATGTATATACATGTGTGCATATCTAAAGTGGGAAATTATAAAGGAATAGAAAAATCACCTGTATAAAATGTACCCCTTAGAATTGTTCTGTTTGGGCTGGAGAGATGGCTCAGTGGTTAAGAGCACTGACTGCTCTTCCAGAGGTCCTGAGTTCAAATCCCAGCAACCACATGATGGCTCACAACCATCTGTAATGCGATTCGATGCCCTCTTCTGGTGTGTCTGAAGACAGCTACAGAGTACTCATATACATAAAATAAATAAATCTTTAAAAAAAAAAAAAAAGAATTGTTCTGTTTTTGTTTTTCATATAAGAAATATTATGTCATTTTTTTCATACAGGTTCATTTTAATTAGAAGCTCGAACAGTACATGATGATGAATTATTTTACATTGGCTATAGATCATATTTTACAAAAGAGATATTCAAAATTTTTTCATAAATTTTACTTGAGAGAGTATACCAACTATAAAAACAAAGGTAGTTATAATTGTTTTATTTTACTTTAAAATGATTTATTATTAGTTTGTTTCTTTACATGTGTGTACTCACGTGTATGTGCATGTGTGCAGATGCCCAGGGACGGCAGAAGAGTGCACTGGAGTCTCTGGAACTAGACTGACAGGCATTAGTTGCCCAACAAAGCTGCTTGGAACTGAACTCTGGTCTTTGCAAGAGAATCAAATACTCTTAACTGCTCAGCCGTGTCTGCAGCCCCATTTACTTTTATTTTTAAAAACAGGGTCTCACTATATATAGCTCAGGCTAAAGTCTGTAACCTCCTGTCTCAGATTTGCAAGTACCGAGGTTACAGATGTATCACCACCTGGGTAGTTACATCTTATTTATTATTGTTATTATTATTATTATTATTATTGTGTGTGTGTGTGTGTGTACCTCTGTGCACACATGGAGGTTAACCAGCAGATGATTAGCTTGCAGACTGGTTCTCTCTTCCACCAGGTGAGTCCCAGGGATGGAACTCAAGTTTAAACTTGGGGGCAGGCACCTCTACCCACTGAGCCATCTTCTTAGTCCTGCACTTGCCTTTAAAACTCTTTTTATGTCTTCCCATGCACAAAATGCCAGCATGGAATATTATTTAAATTCTACTGCCGTTTATTAAGGCGATTGGAAGTGTAGCTGTGGTAGAGCCAGGCAGAGAAGGAACATTTCTTCACGGATTAGGGCATCGTTGGTTTTAAGTACCTCACAGGGAACAGTGCTGTAGCGCTGTTGGACTCCATCTTCTGAGGAGTGTAACGTAGCTCTTTTTCTGTTGGTTTGCTCTTAGGAGTGCTGCATGGCCATTCCCCTGTCTCAGATTGTTTTCATCGAGGAACAGGCGGCTGGAATCGGGAAGAGGTAAGGTCTAAACAGTCTTCATTCACAAAACCATTTCCTGTCACAGTACTGGTCAGTAGGTTCTTTAAGGGTGTGTTTATACCTTGTATCCATTTTGAAGTCTGAATAAAGTAGTAAGGCTTGCTGTAATGTCCTTACGTCAAAATAGGTAGTGTGGCCCTGCTCTTCTGTGTTTCCACAAGCACACTCACCTTTCATGTGTGTGCATTAGTCAGCATTTCACCCAGGAACACCTCATCTGAGGGAAAGAACTATTGATGTTGATAACTTATTGATAACCGCATTCCCTTAGGGTTATTATTCCTTGTTATGGTTCATAGTATCATAGCTGGGTAGGACTATCATTCATAGTGTCATCGCTGGGTAGGACTATGGTTCATAGGATCATTGCTGGGTAGGACTATGGTTCATAGGTTCATAGCTGGATAGGACTATGGTTCATAGGGTCATAGCTGGGTAGGACTATGGTTCATAGGTTCATAGCTGGGTAGGACTATGGTTCATAGGATCATAGTTGGGTAGGACTATGGTTCATAGGATCATAGCTGGGTAGGATTATGGTTTATAGGGTCACAGCTGGGTAGGACTATGGTTCACGGGGTTAGAGCTGGTTAGGACTACAGTTGCTTCCTTAGAATGTCACCTTCTAGAACCATGACCTCTGGGGGAGGCTTTAAAGTCAGAATCATCTTGGATCCTCCAGATCATGTGTCTGAAGTGTGTGGTGTCCTCAGCAATAGGGACTTAACCTCCCACCTCTGAGAGACAACCAAGGGCAAGGGCAATAGCCTAGACTGTCTGAGGAGTCACCAGACAGCCCTGAGCGACCACCCAAAGCAGAACTGCTTACGGCTGGGGTTGGGGTTTTTGTTAGATAGTCTATGGCTCTGGAAGGAAATATTGTCACAATTTTCTCATGACTTTTCAGACATCCTTACTGTTTTTTAGTAACCCCCTTCTATTTTACTTATCTTTTTCTGCATCCCTAATTAAAGCCTCCTGCCCCCCCTCCCCCATCTGTCAGGTTTTCCCTTCACATCAGTAGCCTGCTATTCAAGTACCTTGCCCTCTATTGCCCTCCCCCTCTGTGGTCGCCTTTGCTGTCCTGGTTTCTGTGGTCACTACAGGATACGTCCTTGCAGTACAGAACCTGAAGAGGTTAGGAGCCTCAGATGAGAGCGAGCAGGCCACATTGATTTCTACAATGGCTGCGTGAGATCACGACCCCGACAGCAGTGACCGAGGCTTGCTTTCTCCCCGTGTCGTCTGTACCATCAGTTGTCAGCTGGTTTGTTATCTTTGCCAGTCTCACGGGAGTAGGGACGGAATAAAAGTTGTTTTGATTGCCTTCCCCCAATTGGTAGGGATGATGAACATTTGGGAGGATACTTCTTAGACATTTTTTTTTCTTCTTTTGAGAATCTCTGTTCAGATCCCAAGTGTGTTTTTTGAATGGGTCATTTGTCATCAGAGAAAACAGAGAGAGAGATGGAGATATATAGAGACAGATAGTATACATTCTCTGTCAGATGTATAGCTGACAAAGATTCACTCGAATTCTGTGGGCTTCCTGTTCACACGATTCTTTTTTTTTTATTTTGGTTTTTTTTTTTTTTTTTTGAGACAGAGTCTCTCTGCTTAGCCCTAGATATCCTAGAACTTGCTCTGTAGACCAGGCTGGCCTCAAACTCAGTGGCTCACCTGGCTCTGCCTCCTGAGTCCTAGAATTAAAGGCGTGTCCCACCACTGGCAGATTCCTTAGCTGTGCAGAAACTATTTAGTTATCAATTGTTGGCCTTGATTCCTGCACAAATGGAGTCATACTCAGAGTCCTCTGCTACTCCATGTCATGGAGGGCACTGCCTGTGTTTCTTCCAGAAGTTACTGTGTTACATTTAGGTGTCTGGAGCTAGTTTTCTAACAAGGTGGTAGATATGGATCTAATTTCACACTTTTGCGTGTGGGCATCCGTGTTTCCTGGTATTATTTGTTGAAGATGTTTTCTTTTCTCCAAATTACAGTTTTATTTTTTCTGTTTTTTTTTTTAACATCTTTGTCAACTATTAAATCACTGAAGTTATATGTACTCATGTTTGGGTCTTCGGTTTTGTTCCATTGGTCTACATGTCTGTATTTGGGCCAGTACCATAGTATCTTTATAACTATGGCTCTGTAGTATGTGTTGAGATCTGGAATGGTAACCTTTCCTCTCCAGAAGCCTTTTTTTCCCCTTCAATATTTTTTATTTTTTTGACTCTCTGGGGACTTGTTTGGTTCCATCTGAATTTCAGGGTAGTTTGGTGTTTTTGTTGTTTTGTTTTCTGTTTCAGTGAAGAGTGATGTGTGGGTTTTGGTTGGAATTTTGTTGAATCTGTAAATAGCTTTTGGAAAGATGGTCATTTCCACAGTGTTAGTTCTAGCAATTCATGGACGTGGGATGTCTTTCCTTATTCTAGTGTCTAGATGTGGGGGTTGAGGCAGGGTACAAGGAAGGGCGGATCAGGTGGCCCAGGCTAGACCATGGTGAGGCATGCCTGGTAGTGTATTTAATGTACTGAAGGCGATGCTATTCACAAACATGATAGAAGCTCATCTCCCTAGGTCTGCTGTGTTTTGAGAGTTGTTTTCAGTGTCGGGACTTCTAGGTCGTTGCTGCCTGGGTGGTATTTTCTAACAAACGACACTATAGAATGTTAGCTTTGGATGAGTTTTTACAAAATATCAACCAGCCTGTTTTACAGATAACTTTTCACATGTTCTTTTCCAGTAAGGCAGAATGCTTAGGTAGAAGTCATTACACCCTATAAACTCAGGGGGTGGCTGTGAACTTACTTTAAATTCATTTCTAAAAACCATACTTTTGTTTCATTTATATAGCCAGTAACATTTAGTTCATACTTTTTTTTTTTTAACTTATTGGGGAAAGGGTTTATTAGAGACCGGAACTCGTACAGGGCAGGGGCCTGGAGGCAGGAGCTGGTGCAGAGGCCATCGAGGGTGCTGCCGACTCCCTCTCTCCCGATGCCATGCTCAGCCTGCTTTCTTTCTTTTCTGTTCATATCTTACGAGTTTTATTTTTTCAGGCCTTAATGATCCTGAATATAAATTAGAAAAGAATGTCTTTTAGGAAATTCAGTGTTTTTATATAAATTCAAGAGTCATTTGGAATATAAAAGAAGCTTTAAAAACAGTGCTTGTTGTAGCAGCTCACACTGTCAGTCTCAGCATGCGGAGGTAGAGGCAGGTGGATTTCTGTGTTGGAGGCTAGCCTGGACTACAAGCTAGTTCCAGGTTTGCCAGAACGACACAGTGAGATCCTACCTCAAAACAGTCCATAAATAAGCAAGTAATGAAAAGTTATAAAACACAGAATAAGTGATTTTAAAATGGCCAACATATTTGCTCGTTCATTAGCGCCAAAATAGTGGTCCATCTGCACCCAGCTCCTCCTAACAAAGAGCCCGGTCCAGTCCAGAGCAGTAAGAACTCCTACATCAAACTCTCCTTCAAAGAACATGGCCAGATTGAGGTAAGCTCCCTCGGGAGTGCAGTTGGATTTGAAAGTCTGTGTTGTATGTTACGATGGCAGAAGACAGTATCATGAAGCACACCAGATTCCGTTTAACAAAACAAAACAAAATTTGTGTTTTGATCCTTATCAAAACTGACAAGCAGGAAGGCGTGGTTATATCTGAAGCTCGAAGCCTACCGAGCGGTGGCCCTGCACGGCTGGTGACGTTTTTTAGTGCTTAGTTGATGAACCTGTCATGGGAAGACATTAATTAAGCTGACCTATCTGAAAGCTCACCAGCAGGCAACTGGTGTTGGTTAGCTCCATGCAGAGAATGACTCAAGTAAGGTCCCCCAGCATCAAGGTTTAGAGGACCTAATTAGAAAGTTGCTGGACACTTGTTCTTAAGACAAATGCAATTGAAGTGGCTTTCCCAAAGGTGTTTTCATTATACTGAGAAAATATATTTGATTTTTTTTTTTCGAGCTTAGCCACATTTCATTTTGTCCCTGATTTTGGTTTTATTTTATGTTGGTTTTTTTTTTTTTTTTTGAAACAGAGTATAATGTGGCCCATAGTGGCCTTAAATTTGTTATATAATTGAGGGTAACCTAGAACTAATCCATCTACCAGGATTTTAGGTGTGTGCTTCTGCATCTGGCTTGTCCCTAAATTTTACTTTATATTCTCTGCTGCTTTTCTGGAAAAATGATTGAAAAGTATTCCACATATGTAGGATTGCTTAAAGTGAGGGCGTTCACTTCAGTAGTGCTCACATAGGCGAGAACTGTGCTCTGCATAGAAGGCCAGAGAGAGTGTGTGTGTGTGTGTGTGTGTGTGTGTGTGTGTGTGTGTTTTGATGTCTTTGTTCTTTCTGAAGCTGATCCTAGAAAACAACTTTTGACTTGTTTTGCTGTCTAAAGGTCTAGTCTTGTTCCTGATGACTGAACAGAACCGTGTAGTGAAGGAATGTTTATAACACGTATGTGATGTATGTGATAGTTGCCACTTGACTCAGATCTTTGCATGTGGATTGCAGTTTTACAGGCGTCTATCAGAGGAAATGACACAGAGAAGATGGGAGACGGTACCAGTTTCCCAGTCACTACAAACAAATAAAGGATCCCAGGTATAGTTTTAAAAACTATTTGTAAGTGTAGTATCTTCCTTTTTGTTTGTGTTCCTAAGACAGGGTGACCTAGAACTTGTGCATAGCCCAGCTGGCCCCCATCTTGAAAGGGTCCTCCTACCTGAGCCTCCCAAGTGCTGGAATCATGAGTGTGAGACAGGCTCAGCTGGTAGTGTTTTCATCTCTGTATCTGTGTGCTCCATAAGAAGACTCTGGCCACGTGGTGGTGCACACCTTCAGTCCAAGCATTTGGGAGGCGAAGACTGGCATATCTCTCTGTGTTCAATCAAGGCCAGTCTGGTCTACACAGTGAGTTCCAGGATAGCCAGGGCTACATTGAGAGAGTCTGTCTCAAAAAATAACCAAAAAAAAAAAAAAAAAAAAGAGGAGGAGAAAGAGGAAGAAGAGGAGGAGGAGGAGGAAGAAGAGGAACTCTCTGTGATCACAACATTGTCAAAAACAAAACAGTAGAGTTCTAATTGTAAAAAAATGAATTTTCCTAAAAATGAGTCTGACTCATTTGCTGAACTGTGGACGGGCTCTCAGATGTGAGAAAACAGCTGAAGGACTTACCAGCCACAAGACTTTTATACATTTGATAAACTCTCAAGTATCGAATATACGATAGATCCCCAAAGAATAAAAAATGAATAAGAAATTTAGCTATACCTACAATACAGAGAAAAACATGCATGCCGTTGATTAGTTGATTATAAATTTATTTTTTCCCTTAATATTTGAAGGTTATTATGTGCAACCAGAAAGAAACAAGTGTTTTGAAAGGAAGTGTGATGCAGTTGTATGCCGCTTTCTTTGTGGGTCCTTTCCCACCTTTGAAAACTCAGTGTAGTTTACAAAGGGTTTTGTTTCCTTCCCGTCTTGTATGTTTTATGAGCTACTTGTTTTTTTCTATTTTTTTTTCCCAGCCAGGAAGAGTACGAGCTGTTGGGATTGTAGGTATTGAGAGGAAACTTGAAGAAAAAAGAAAAGAAACCGACAAAAACATTTCTGAGGTAATCTTTAAACATCCTCTTACAGCCTTGATGGTTCCGTTCTGTAATTTGGAATATATTTAGCTTGCCCACAGCTCCGCCGTGGTCTCCCGTTTCCTACAGATCTACCTCAGCTTGGCATACTTCAACACTGTTTTCCCTTCGAGGTTACTCTTCCAGAGAGAGTTTGGAATAGCGAGCTGTTTTCTATTCTTTGATTTCCTTTTTTTCTGAAGGTTGTTGAGATGCTCAAAATAAAGTTCTTAATTTATGAATTATTTCTTTAAAATGAATTATTCCATTTCAAGAAATAAATTGTTTCCATTTTCATGGATTCCTACACCTCAAAGAATTCTCCACAGACAACATATTCTGTGCAGAGCCTGATTTATTTAGGAAATAGTTCTTGTTATCCACACGGTGACTTACGTGAGGAACTGTGGCTACTCTGAGGGCAGACTGGATAGACAGGCAAACTGGTGTATTGACATCAACACACACCTTGTGAAGAGAGAATTTAGGATCCAGAAGGGACCCATGACATGACCTTTACCATCCCTAGAGGTCAAAGAAGACTTGTTAACAACAGGAAGATGGGATCAAAGACCAGAAAGATGAATAGGTGTTGGTGTCACCAGGTAGAAGGGTGGGCTATGCAGAGACCTACAATGTCCATTATGGAGACAGCAAATGCAGACACGTGTGGTCATTCATGAAATGAGTAACTGGCCAGAGCAGTGGCTGCAGGTGATGCAGACCAGCACACAGGCCTCTGTGCCTTTAGACAGGTGCCCTTCCCACACAGTTGAAATGGGAATCTGTGGTGTGAAGGTAGAACGCTCTGTAAACCAGAGGACATAATACTAGGATGGGTGTGTGCTTCTGTCTGGCCTAAGCTTTTCTTTTACATGCCTACCGACACTTTTTATAGTTTACTGATTTTATAGTTTATAATAATAATAGAAATAAAAGCAAGGAATCTTTTGTTAGTGCCTTGTAATTACTTAAAATGTTTTATAGCCAATTCTTTTAAGGAACTGTGATATTTATATTTTTTCATTGATTACAACGGATAAAGGATGTGTTCTTGTACACTCAGGATTTTAGGTTTTTTTCTATGAAAATATACAACAGCGATTTCTCATACTGATTTTACATGTACAAGTAAAATAAATCTGTTAACAATTTGTGCAGTCCATGTAAAAATCCAAGATTGCACCATGTATCTTTGTTCTAGTTTTGGAAACTAGGTTGGTGTGTGATTTAAATGTTAGAATTCACTCAGTTTCATAGCTGGTGCCCAGAGCCTCCCACAAAGGGCTTCCTGCATCTGCTGGCCCTTGCTGATAAGAACCCCATGTCTAAGCCTTTGTTTATCTGAGGAAATTCCTGTGAGGTGTGTGCACATTCCTTTTGTTTTCACTGTTAGCTTAGTGAGATGCCTATTAAGGATCTTACACGACTATTCTTACACTATTCTTTGAGCAAAGGAAAAAAAAAACCTTGCAGGCAGTACTTTCCTGCAGATTCGCATAGCTGATCAGAGTCATGGCCCTGTATGTCAGAGCACAGTGTGGACTGAACTTTCAATTACTGACAGCTCTTAACTGGTTTTCAAAAACACATAGGTATCTATGCACATCACTTAGTTGAGAAATTCTGCAGTCATTTTCAATAACCTGAAATAATTTATTAGAAACGCATCTGATTCAGTTCGAAGAAGCCCTTGGAGTAGACACTTGCTGTGGTGGTTTTGTTTAATCTGTTTGGGTGGCATTTGTATGTTTTTTTGTGTGTAGCCGCCACATGCAAAACTGTAAGTGTCATGGTTTAACATTCGTGGGCTAAGGCTCAGTCAAGTCATACCTGCATTTCGGCCAAAATAATTATGTCAAAAAAAAAAAAAGTGTTTCTGCGCTGAGTATTGTCATTTTCAACCTAGAAATGGTTTGCTACATTTTTTACTGAATGTGTGTCTGTGTCTTTGTGTGTGTGTGTTAGGAACAGCACAACCCAGGACCTCACAGATGCCAGGAAAGCATTCTATCACTGAACCACACCCCAGATCAAGATTTTCTTACGTGTCCCAGAACAATAAATAATAATCTGTGGTTGTAGCTTGAGGAAGTTTACAAGTTCCTTAAAGTAGATTTTTAAAATGAGGTAGATGTATTGCTTATACAATTAATAATAAATTGATATTTGTAAGAAAATTTTTTGTTTGAGTCATTGCTTTGAAACATCCTAATTCCTTAAAATGATTGGATCACAAACCCTATTTCTCATTTCAGGCCTTTGAAGACCTGAGCAAGCTGATGATCAAGGTATGTGTCACGTAGCCACTCACACTCAGTCGTAAGTATATTTTCAGATCTCGAAAGTATATTTTCTTAGAAGGTTCTTCGTCTTTTCTCTATCCAGGCTAAGGAAATGGTGGAGTTATCAAAATCAA